TGCCCAATAGTAAATATGGATAGGCACACTCTACAAAATAGCATTAACACAAAACTTAGTAGGTCAAATCTGGAAAAAATTATAGCAAATGGAGAGGAAAGAGATGAATTCATAAAATACGCTTGTAAGATAATAGAGAAAATAGCTAAAAGAAATAAATAGGGATTGAATGAATAGTGTACAAACAACAAAGTATAACTGTGATATTATATCACATATATATAAATATATATATAATATAAATAAATTAGAACAAATAAGAAAAAATTTAAACCAAATAGGTAAATAACAAAATGTAAATAGATATAAGAGAAATGTAAATTAAAAATATGTAAAATAGAGTAAGAAACAATGTAATAGAAAATAAGGAAAGTCTAAAAGAGAGAAAAAGAGCAATTAAGTTTTTAAATTATTTGGCTAATAAAATTAAAAAACGCCTGCTCTATTTTAGATAGCAATCACGCAGTTTAGTTTATATGTATATTTTTCGTACAGGAGTCAATTGCGGTAAGTATGGCGACGTCCTTAATATTCCATACCCAAAGCGTAAACGGGGGTTCTCTGCCTTTTCGCTGAAAACGGTTGGGTCGATTAAAACTTGCCAACTATCGTCTCGTTTAATTTTATTTCGTCGCCGAATAATAATTTGCCAACATATAATTTTTTTTCCAGCTTTTTATAATGACACTTTTATTTACAATGAAAGATGCCAACTTCAAGTGGCAAAACGTTTTAATGCGTGTAATTTCTACTAAGTTGTATATTCTTATTGAAAAATGCTTTAAACCACTTTGTATCTGGTTTTTTGAGATTGTACTCGAGCCCTTTCGCAATCCGGGCGACTGCTCTAATCACTGAGCTACCTAGTATGTAACAGGATTGACGAATTTTTCAAGCACTTGTTACTTTTTCATATCTTTATCAATTTTCAGGCAATCTGGGTGGATTAGATAAGCAATTTTCATTTTAAGTATTTTCATTATGAATATTGAATGCAAAATTTATCATATACAGTTGTATATTGTTTACCAAATGTTGTCGGTCACGGGATGGGTGACCAAAAAAATATTATCTCGAGCTACTCCGAGTTTCGGAAGGCACCGTCCTGATTACATTTGTTGTCGATATGACCCTCCCACCATCGCCCACGCTCTTAGCCATCCATAAAGAAGGCCTGAGCCCTTGGAGTGGGGACGTGAAAGAGCTGATAATGACGAAAAGGGAACTGATACATTGACGAAACGTGATTGTGTGAACAAATGACAGACATTTGTCAAAGTGAAACTCAAGCGTAAGGTTGGACGGCAATTGATAATCGGCCAAACAATTTTCGGCGAAAAGGCAGGATCCCCTACTCAGGACTCTATAACTAAGACTCCACTGTCATTCTATCACCAGGTTATATTGCATGAACCGTCAAAGCTAGACATTTGAAATTTTCACAGATTATATATTTCTAATACTAAGAAATAATAAAATTAATATTTAAATGAACTTAATGAACAAAAACGTATTTTTTTTATCCTATACGGCACGGAACAAAGAGCTTCAGAAATATTCAATTGTTGCAATAACATACAAAAAAGATTATTATTACACTACTGCTTAAAAAGGGGTGTCTTATGAAAGTTTATGTATGTATGTGAGTTTTTAATTTTACTTAAATAAATTTCAAATTCATGTAAAGAATATACTTATGAGTAAAGGCTATTATAAAGTTGATGATTATTTTAAGGATCGCAATGCGTGGAATTAATAGCCCAAGCTTTGTTCTATAAAGACTAATTATATGTTCAACCTATGTCCTACAGACTTTGAAAGTTGTATTTATTATTGTGATAATACATATTATTTTGGTAATGACATGATTTATGTAAATTTCATTACTTATGATAAAAAGCTGGTAAGTTTCTTTCGCTTGTTCTTCTTGTCAGCTAAAAGACGTCCTGAACAAGTGGTAGGGGAAAAAATTTTTTGGACGATTCAAAAGTGCTTGTAATAGCCTACTTGAATAAAGATATTTTCATTTTATTTCACTATAACTCTTGAAATACACGAATAGATTTATCATTCGAAACGTTATACCATCCCAGATTACGAAGCACGGAGGAGCTCGTGGCATAACATTTTTGGATAACCATCTCATATCGAGCATCTGAGGCACATAAATTAATAATGTAAAAGGATTGGCCCCGTCAATGGTGAAAAAAATGAGAAAACGGCGACAACTGGGATTTATTTCCGAGAAAAAATATACTAGGAGCACAGGGGTGAATCCGGGAACCACCTTACACGCAGTACGTACCAGGTCTCAGAACGCAACACAGAGCTTTGCCGAAGAACCGAAGTACCAATCTGGAACGGTTAATTCTGAAGCCACCATCATTCCTTCCTTATGGATGGTTAAGGAGGATGGGCCATAACCTTCCACGCTGGCCCAATGCGAATTGGAGGGTAAGATTCCGAATCATGAGTTATATTAACATTAATCGGCATATTACTTATACAATCTTACAAAATAAAAGTGATACCGCGATGCATTAAATGTATAGCGCCATCTAGTTCGTAGACTTGGAACTAGTCGGGCACCTATGATGATGATGATGGGTGTGTTACAATATAAATATATATAACTCAAAGGTGACTTACTGACATAGTGATCTATCAACGCACAGCCGAAACCACAGGACCGATCGGGCTGAAATTTGGCATGCAGGTGGATGTTATGACGTAAACATCCGCTAAAAAAGGGTTTTGATCAATTCTACCCCCAAGCGGATAGAATAGGGGATGAAAGTTTGTATAAAACTTTGTCAATTTTAAACCGATCGGGCTGAGACTTTGCATGCATAAAGCTACTATGACGTAGACATCCCCTTAGCTAGGATTTTGATCAATTCTACTCCCAATCGGATAGAATAAGAGATGAAAGTTAGTATGGAATTTTGACAATTTTAAACCCATCGGGCTGAGATGTTGCATGCATAAAGCTACTATGACGTAGGCATCCCCTAAGAAAGGATTTTGATAAATTCCACCCCTAAAGAGATAAATAGGGGATGTAACTTTGTTTCATGTATTTTACACAATATAATTAATAAATATTCTTTAGAAATGCTGCTTAAGGTAACTTTACCACGCGGAAGAAGTCGCGGGCAAAGGCTGGTAATAAATAAAACAACAGAAAATAAAATGACAAATTTAATTGTCTTCATAAATGCCTTTCTTACCAACAAAAGGTATAGGTGTTCTTCCCAAAAATCCGCTACCACCTATTCTACCAACGTTATGATATTCAGGAATTCGAGGTACGTAACTCGGTTTATCATAGCTCTGCTTCCTTTCCCATGGTTTTTTAGCAGGTTTTTCTTGGTACCTAGTTGTCTTAACAGGTTTGTTATCGCTCCAATCATGCCAATTGTTTTCAATTTTTTTCGGTTTATAATCTCTAATACGCTCTTGTGATTCAATTCTTTTATTTCTTTTCGGATAATCATTCCATTCGCTATTCACTGTTATCTTCTTTAGCCCCGTTTCCATCGAATCGTATTTTATCTTACCTTTATCTTCATTCCACGAGTTGTGTTTCATTGTGGTCTCTTTCCAAATTTTATCTTCACTCCGCGTGTAGTCATTCTTAGTGTCCTGTTTCCAGTTTTTATCATCATCCCATGAGTTCTTTCTTTTTTTATTTCTTTCCGACTCTCGTTTTTTATTATCAAACCCCTTATTATTGAATTGAACTCCACCGAATTCTTTTTTGCGTGTCACTCTATAATCGGAGTCGTGTGTTTGTTGGTGTCTTTGCTTATTTTTTTCATTATACCTATTAGACTCTTTAGATATCGGACCGTCATTTTCACTATTTTTAGTTATCATACCCCAGACATCGTCGTCGTCTTCAGGTTTATTTTTGTTCCCATTTCTAGAACGTTTACTTACAAATGCTTTTTCATTTTCATTACTTTCTCTTTGGTCGTTGGATAAAGATGCACTATGCTTTTTCTCAACTTCGACGTCTATATTTGTAATATCCTTTCTTCCATATTTTTTGTTGGAATCATCTGTAATAAATAGTAACTTTTTAAATTCTAATTTAATGTTATGTAAATATACATTTGTAAAATTGTTTAATATTTTAAACTAGCTTTCACCAGCAGCCTCCCCCGATTGCTCCCTAAGGTAATGTTTAATCGGATATTTAATCAAAATCCGTTCAATAGTTTCGGTGTGATTGACGGACAAACATCCAAACAAAGAAACTTTCACATTTATAATATTAGTAGGATAACTCATTCGAGCAAGATTTTTTGTAAGGCATGTGGACTGAATCAGAGTTTTGCTTAAGTTCTGCGTGTCATACAAATAGTTTACTGTTGAGCTGCAAATGAACTACGCATACGGTTATAATGTAAACATTTATGTCTGTACGTAGACACTACGCAATGCGTATTAATTACATCACACCACAGGGTAATGCCACCGGATAGGACATTGTCACTAGATAGGACACTATTAAACGACAATGTCCTATCCTATATGTGAGCATTATCATTGATGTTACATTGATCAAATTAGTAAATGTGAGTGTTAGCTCGTCAATTACAAGTTTAGCTGCGTATTAACCTCTTCATGCCAATTATGCTAATAATCGCATCTAATAGAATCTCGCATTTGGCCATTGTAATTCCTGAAATCCAGTACAATATTATATATCTGCCACCTAAGATAAAGTCTAAGATAAAGGCGTGGTGGCGGTTTCGGTTCAGTTGGAACACGCCACCCCGAAGTTTGTTGACTAGTTTGCATGTCAAACTCGTAAACTCACGACTCGTCAACAGTAACAATGCGTTTCATGAATGCTGGGTCGGAATTGACTCGTTCTAGCATGTCCTCAGCGACTCTCGTGCGATTGAGTTTTTGGTGAAAATTCAGGTCTTTTGGGACTAGCCTAGCGGCAACATGTTTCATACCCGTATGATTAGTAAAAATGGTACGGATCAACTCGTGAGATACAGGAGTTCGTTGGCTATCTCACTCAAAGTTGATTTAGGATTTTCAGTTTCTTTTTCTTTCAGTTTTGCGATGTTAACTTCAGTTGCAGACGTTGATGGCCTACCAGAGCGAGGCAAATCTTCCATCACATCTCGACTGCTTTTGAACGCTTTGCACCACTCATAAGCACGAGTTTTTGATAAAGTCGATTCACCGTAAGCCTTCTGTAACATTTTCAGTAACTACGAACATAAAATTCCATTGGCGACGCAAAATTTAAGACAAACTATTTGTTCGATGTTTTTGTCCATTATGAAATTTGCAAAACACACTAGATATAATAAAACTAAAAACAGCACTGTATTTAATAATCTAATTACTGATATAACTAGAACTCCGCGCCAAAATGGAAAACAGTTGTGCCAATCAAACAACAACAAAAAAAAAACAAAAAATTGAATTAGGAACCATAAACAAATAATCTATTCCCGATACTTTTCGACTAAATTTAGTACAATGCTAGAATGCAATTAATTGAGATTCTACTGAGATGCGATTGTTACATACTTAGGCTTTAGCAGAATTATTAACCTAGTAGCTCGCTCGCTATCGACCAAATAATGTTGGAGCTTGATGGAAGAATCCTTGATTTATTATAGATTTACATCACTACATCTTACGATAATGCCAAAACAAATAGAATACCGTTACGATATCGTGGCTCAGCTTTCCTTCTTATGTCAGCATACTCATTGTCTATTCTATCGTAATCTGAAGAGCTGTCATCACTATCCGATGTGCTATGTCTAGAAAGTAAAGAAATGGAATTAAAATTTTATTTATTAAATTTACTTCTGTCCTATGAACTCGAGTCCCATTTACACGATGTTCAAACGTACGAAAATTTTCAAAAACCTAAGGAGTTTCTTTCATCATCGGCAAAATTACACTCCTTAATCCATTTGCCTACATCAGAGTTTTATTGTGTTGTGATTTTTTGGCGTCATTCCAATGCTTTGTCTAGTCCGCCAAGTTCCAGTGTTTTACCTAGGGCGTCAATTACATTGAACCAGATGAACGGTATAGCGCATTTGTGCATATGCCTAATTGCAGAAACATCCATTAAAGTATTAGATTGTATAAAACGGGTATTAACGCGATAAATTTTGATAATAGGTTTTTCACCTACCTATATTTCCCGACGCTTCGACCAGGCCGTGGTCACGGGCTGACTGTTTCTGCGAAAAACCTATCGAAATCTATCGAGTTAATAGCCGTCTTATACAATCTAATATAATGCAACGCGAAAGTTTAAAATATCCATTAAAGTACTGATACAAATTGTCTAGAACATTCTTTAGAACATATTTTTTCATTAAACCTTAATAGTCGGTTGCGTAACCGAGTGATAGCTGCAAAGATACAATACACACCCTTTTCTTAGAGCTTCGATGTAGTCCTTTAGAACTTCAGGATTTTTTATAACGTGAACTCTAGATGAGATAGGTGCAGCCACTAAATCATCATTGGCTACTCTGGTGTCGTAATTTTTCTGTGCCAATTCCATCAAATCAGTCAGCTTTAAACCCTCTGCATCTTATAAAAAAGAAGAAAGTTAATATTTTTAAAACTCTACAGTCTCAAAGACTGAAGACAAAATTCGGATATACAATTCAACCTGTCTCAATAGAATAGGAAACAATGTCTTTCTCACACGTGAATGATGACAGATATTTAATAATATTGGACTTTGAGTAGATAGTACAAAACGAAAGTATACGTTAGCAGCATTAAGTCAACTGTTTTAAACAGTCAAAAGTCATAATAATCTTTATTCAAATAGACTTCTTAAAAGTACTTTTGAATCGTCCAATATTTTTTTCCCTACCGCTCGTTCAAGACGTCTTTTGGCTGATAAGAAGAACGAGCAAGAAACTCACCAGCTGTAATAAGAGTAATGACATTTACAAAAACCATGTCATTACCAGATCAATACATTATAAACAGAGATAGAAAAAAAACGATGGTATTATAATGATAACATAATCATTTAATAATAATGGAAACAAGATAATGAGTTTAGAAGTAATCACCTATCCAGTTGCTTGATCATCTCAAGTCCAAGCGTTCTTATCTGTTATATAATCGGATACTTTATAATAAGCTTTTTTAATAAGTATTTTAATACATCGATCGAAACAATACATCGATCGTTTTAAACATGCGAAATTTATAAAATACCTACTTGCTATTTTTCTGCAACTTCGTCCATGTAAATTATAACTTATCTCGCCCCCGTGGGTGTAAGAATTATTGATATCGATCCAGTAGTTTCGAGGCTTCTTCGATGTAAAGAAAAAAAACAATCAAATCCTACCTCTTTATTTTAATATAGATATCTTTATTTCCTGGTAATATTTGTACTACAAACCTTTTAATAAGACGTAGGGATATAGTAATATATAGTAAGAAACCACTGCCCTATTAGAAAACAAGCGTAGGGAAGACCTCAGCAGTGTTTATTGAATAGGTCAATGATGATGGTATATTCCTCGACATTCATAATGAGGAAGTAAAAAAAAAACAATAGTTCCCGAAATCAAACTAGATGTCGCTACGGTACGTTCTTGATTTCTCCATGTCAACCCTTACGGTTTTCTTTCATGTTTAAAAGTAAATTAGTTTTCAGAACTCAATAAACAACTCATATTCTATTTGTTCTTTTTCGTAATTCTATTGATATCAAAGTTTCGAACTTTTCAAATTTCAGTTTTTTTAATATGTTAGTTAAAAGGAACGGAAATGACTGTCTTTGGTCCATTCCTGCAAAAATCAACTTTTGCTAGAGTCGCCATCTAATGGAGGTGCTTTTTTAGTGTTTTCGTTTTTTTTTAATTCTTCCTCATTATTTACATGCATTCTCACCGATTTATGACCTAGGATCAAAAATGAAAACAAATTGTTACCACTACGCTTTAGTCTCTTATTTTGGACTCGTAACAATTTACTGCTAACATTTGTATTGCACTTTAGATCGCAAATTCGTTTTTACAGTACATATTACTAGCCTTTTGTAATACCTGCGTCTTCTATAGTGTTATCGCCATTTTGTTCAAATTCTGTTTTAGAATAACTATTTAAATATTTTATAATTTTTGCTATTTCTTCCTTGTTTTTCCTGCTTTTCGCATTTTCAACTATAATCTTATAAGGTATATGATTTTCTTGTGATCTTGCTTCATTATCTTGGATTGTAGCTGTTACAACTAAGAACGGTAGAAACATTGATGAGTTAAGTTCATTTAATAGCAAAACAATAAGGATGACGACTGGGTAAAAAAAATGCAATTCTATTTAGTCCGTCAGTCAGATAATAGAAACGTATTTTTTTTACTTCAATTTAACAAGAAATAGCTTAGATAACAGGCATTAAAGTTGAGGAGTGGGGGCTCGCTACGTCACAGTTGAGTAGAAAACGTACCATAACGTGACGTCATGCGAAATTTCAAACTCAATGTAACTCCGTAATTTTATGATTACGAAAAAAAAATACGTGTTTAATATTTTTTAACACTCTACCTGACGGACAAACAAACAAAAATTAGTCATCATCCATATTATTATTTTTATAATGTTGTTTTCTTTTATTACTTAGACTTCGCTGTGTGTCTGTATGTCACCAGGCTGCATCTAATAAACCGTGAAAGTGAGATAGTTGAAATTTACACACGTGACGCATTTCTGTTGTCGCTTAAACAACAAATAGTAAAAACTAGAATAAAATAAATATATAAGGGGGCTCCCATAAAATAGAGATGATGAGTAATTTTTGTGTGTCTGTCCATCGGGTAGATTGTTGAAGAATTTAAGCTTAAAGCACGTAGTTTTTAATAACTTCAAAATAGGCCCGTCTTTACCAAATATATATATATATATATATATATATATATATATATATGTAAAAAGTGGGATGGAGAGCACCACAGCACTACTTGTACCCGGGCGCTTGTTGTGCTTAAAGCCTAGTTCGCATTAAGCTAGTATTTTAGTCTAGTAACGCGTAGTATAGTAGCAAAACGTGTCTAAACAAAAAAAAATAGTCGACTAGCTTATTAAGTAATATAGTCGAGTCAATCCATTTTATTCTTTTTTTTCGGGCGTACCTCCAACAAATTAGTCGAGTTCATTAGTTGCCTAAAAATGTCGTTTCGCTGGAGCGAAGAAACAACTTTAAAATTAGTTTCCAAATATTTAGAAAATGAATGCTTGTTGAATATTATGTCCTCGCATTATAAAAACAAACAAATGAAACAATCCGCATACTTGGATTTAGAAAATACAATGAATAAACCCGGATTTGGTGAAAATTTCCTCATCCACCTCTTTTAAAATAGCCGTTATAACAGGCTTAATCAGTTTATTAACTTTATTGCGTTGTAAGCTGTTCATCTTGCATAACACAACTTACTTGTGAACTGAACTCGAAGAAAGTGCGCAAGTTTTTTGGGCAGTAGTGAGTATTTTTGCTACTAAACTACTCGCTACTGGACTAAAATACTGGCTTAATACGAACGAGGCTTAAAACAATAAATTACGACGACACATCGAGTTGAAATGTCGATTAACCTTTGTACAGTTGTGACGTAGCGGGCCCCCACTCCTCAACTTCCAAACTTCTTATCTAAGCCATTTAATGTTAAAATGAAGCAAAAAAAAATACGAAGTAGCTCGGTGACGTACTGGATAAGTGCCGAGGCACGCGATCGTTGTCATTAAGCAACTTTCGCAAGGGTCGGTCACGGGATGGGTGACCTAAAAATTATTATCTCGAGCTACTCCGTGCTTCGGAAGACACGTTAAGCAGTTGGTCCCAGCTGCATTTGCAGTCGTTAATACCCGCAAATCCGCATTGGGCCGTGATCCTTAACCATCCATAAGGAAGGCCTGGCATGATGATGATGATGATGAAAAATACGTATATAATATTTTTCTAATATCTGATCGACGGACTAAATAGAATTTCTATTTTTACCCAGTTCTCATGCCAAATAAGCCACCATATCTTCCTTCTTTATAATATTAGAATAGATTTGTTTAAAGTAGTGCATTAACTTACCTAAACATATAAAAAGGACTGTTATCATATTACTTGCTCGCGCCTGCAGTGTATCATTTCGATTAATTGCTTATCGAATGTTACCACCAGTACTTTTATCTTGGTTTCTAATGAAATTCATTGCCGTGAAAAAACATATCGAAATCGTTTGGACGACATGCCGAGCTGAAATCTGAAATTATTTGAAAGTTTCTTTAAAACGGGAACAGCGTTAAGATAATTTACTTCTTGGCAGCAAAACCTTTAGCCAGAAAACCTTTAGCCGAAAACTTCTTGGCAGCAAAACAATTAAACCACGAAAACGCAGCTCGCTGTATTGTGTACAGCGAGCTGCGTCTTCTGGCGGTGGTGATTGGGTATGTCAGAAAGAGCATGTAATTAGAATTAATGCAGACGAGATGCATTCGTGAACGAATAATCCTGAAGAAACCAAATGATCTGCAAACTCTAGGTCTATTTAAGACTAGCTGTGCCCGCGACTTCGTCTGCGTGGGAAGTATTTTGGTAGAATTCTTTTTTCCTATGAATGGAGTCGAATCGAATAAGATCAATGGGCCATAACCCACTATGCGGGCTTAATGCGGATCGATGGGTGTTAACGTTGCAGCCAGTACTAACGGCTTAACGTGCATTGTGTCAGTGTTGTGCACAGTGCTCAAGATAATAATGTTTTGGTCACTCATCCTGTGAACGGTCCTTACGAATGTTATTTTTCTATCTTTTTTCTTGTTTCCCGCGCTTTGGTTATCGCTTGTATCTTTAAATTGTCCTTCTTTTGTTTTTAACCTTTTTAAATTATTATTATTTGTCTTGCTGTATCACAATCAATCAGCTATTTATTGTTCTATTTTCCATGTAATGCTAGGTTACCTGGAAGAAATCGCTGGCTAGCATTGAGTTTGTCGATTGTACTTAGTTATACAAAATAAGTATTCATGGATGTCCTTGTTCTGCAGTATTTACTTACTTATTTAACTGCAATTTAAGCCGAATGCACTACGCCATCGGACCTCTTATACCTAAGCTATACTAATATTACAAAACGGGAAGGATTTGCTCCAAAACTACTAGACCGATAGTTTAAGAGCGATTCCGACCTACGGGAAACTACATAAGACGCGGATGTCTTAGGCTATAATTTTGCGGCAAAGTCGCTGTAAAACAGCTAGTTCGTTATTCCCTGTCAAAACTTATCTGCGGTACGCCTATGGAGTATGAAGGCAACACGGATTGGCGATAATCGAAACTACTTTCTCGATCTCTATTGTGCAAACTGCGAGCACTTTCAGAAATCAAGCGCATTTCTCTATCAAAGGAAGTTTCATTCTCATACCATACTGCATGTATGTTACAATCAGCAGTTAGACGCACTATGCCATCTTCAGAAGTTTCCTGAGATCAAACGCTTGTTGTATGAGTTCTCTGAGAGCTCAAGAGATTGTCCCTGCTGGTAAATGCTTCAGGTTCAACTTTATAGTGCATGAGCCTCGCGATGGGAAGTTTAACACGCTTCGCGTGTTTCAGGTGTCTCCCGAGACCGAGAGCTTTCCGTCCGATCTCTTTCTTTGTCAAAAAATGTTAGTCGCTACATGTCTGACGGAAGATACGTGAAGTTTTATTAATTGATATAAAAAAATATATACATATTTTAATTTCGACTTTCCACACTCGAAGGAAATCGTGTATCAACACATACTTCCGAGAAGTGCTTAACTGAGCATTCTGTCAGATTTGAATGGCCCATCATCATCATCATCAGCCCTTTTACGTCACCAACTGCAGGAGCTCAGGTCTTCCTTATGGATGGTTAAGGAGGATGTGCCACGACCTTCCATGCTGGCCCATTACGGAGTGAACCTATCGCTTTACGTTCCTGTCGAAGCTTGGAGTTGCTGGAGATAATATTTTTTTGGTCATCGATCCTGTGACCGACTTTTACAAAAGTGCCTAAACAACTACAATCGCGGGTCATGCCACTTATTCACTACGCCACCGAGCTACTCTGAACCGACCCTCAGACCTCCGTAATATTATATGAGTGTTGTGATCAATGAACAAACCACTGTTTCCGACGAAGACTGAAAATACCAACTTTGAAGTACGTATCTACAGCAAATTAGTATGTTAAAAAAAAAACAAAAATAGTATTAAGTTAAAAAATTGTAATAGGAGAAAAAAAATATAAATCGAGTCGACTTTATGTTCTTTACTTCAGTTGACGTGAATCTAACTTTTTTACCGTCGTAGAAAAGCTTCTGACATTGTCTCTGCTACGTAGCAAGCAACAGGGGGTGAGTAAGATTATCCTCCGTGAACCCGATAGTGAGTTGCCCAGTGGGTCCCCAGAGGCCTACCCACCAAAACCCGTACGCTTCACCGTCTCATGGGAGATGAAACCCGGCTAGCTATGGCCACGTCACCGAACATTCAAATATGTGATCATTGGTCCCCTTGCAGATGGAAAATTGGAGAGGCTCGGGTAAATCGAGTACCTCTCCCAGACAGAAGAAACTGTGCAATGCGGGGTATAAATAGTATTTGAAATAGATGATACCACAATAAATGTTAGGGTTATTGTTGGTGATGTAGTACTAGAAAATATTAATGACTTTGCGTATCTTGGATATGCTGTTAGCAGGGATAAAATATACACCACTGACATAGAAAGGAGAGTAGATGCTGAGAATAGTGTTAACGTAGTTTTGCGAAAATTTATTTGCAGCAAAATCTTTTGCCAGAAAACGCAGCTTGCCGTACACAATGCGGTGCTGATCTCAACTCTAATGTATAGTAACAAGAGTTGAATACAGAAAGACCATATAAGTAAAATAAATGCAGACGAGATGCATACGTTTTGTAGAATATGTGGAGTCTCGCAGACCGCATTCGGAATGAAGATAGAACAAGGACATTTGACTTAAACCATAACGTTGGTATAAGGATCAACTGAACCATGCTCCATTGGTTCGGATATGTAGAAAGAATGCAGGTTGGAAGAATGACAAAACTGATGTACAATGAAAAGTGGAAGGATGCAGAAACCGAGGAGCACGAGGGGTCGATGGTCGTTGGATCTAGCGGGCTCTGTTCCCTCCTCCTCTGTTTTGTATCCCACCGAGAGTATCCCACAGTGCTTCAACGCTTCAAACTGTAACGGTGCCTCGTGCCA